GTAAATATCTTGTGTGAAGATCATAGCGTGAGGTGATCTTCACACAAGATATTTACTACCTGTGTCTATTTTTTTTTAATCAATTTAGATATATTTGTGGCCCACCTGCCCTGGGGCCATTTTGTGTTGTGGCTGTGACCAGCCACATGACCGGAGAGATATTTCCTGTCTGATTCTTGTCTTCCATCCCACGGCCGGTCGGCTCCTGCTGGCCAGCAATTCCCCCTTCACTACTGTTCGCTGTGCCAGAGGAGCGTCTGGCCTGCTTGAGCAGAGAAGAGCAGGACTGGAACTGGAGGCCGTTCTCATCTTAAGGTAGGAGAAGAGGGGCTTCGGGGACCTTCGTGTGTAGTGTGCTAAATTGGGGACTGAGGCAGTGTATTAATTTGAGGGAGGAAGGGGGCAGTGTATTAAATTGGGGGAGGGAGTGGGAAGTCTATTAATTTTAGGGAGGGGCACTGTATTAATTTAGGGGAGGAAGGGGGCAGTGTATTGAATTGGAGGAGGGAGTGGCGCAGTGTATTAGAGTGGTGGGAGGTGGAGGCAGTGTATTAGTGTGGTGCAAGGGCGGCAGTGTGTTAAATTCGGGCGAGGGCAGTGTATTAAATTGGAGGAGGGAGGGCAGTGTATTAAATTAGAGTGGAAGGAGGAGGGGCAGTGTATCAGATAAGGAGCAGTGTATTAGAATGGGTGAAGGGGGCAGTGTGTTACAGTGGAGGTAGGGGGCAGTGCATTGGATTTGGAGGCAATGTTGGATTTATGGGCAGTGTATTAGAATAGGGGGAGGGGGCACTGTATTAGATTGGGTCTGCATGGAGGCGCTGAACGCTCCCCATGGAGATGCTGTTTGGCATGCAGCTTTTTATCACACATGCACAATAGCCTTCCAATGCTTTCCTATGGGAAATAATTGGATTGGCTGAGATCATCAAGTTTGATGATCTCAGCCAAAGTGAAAAACACACTCATAGGACTTCAAAATCAACAAGATAATGCCGTTTGTGTTTTACAGCTGTGTAACAGCATACATTCACTATTTCAGTCCCGTTACCAAACTTTTCTTAATATGTCAAGGTAGTTGGACTAAACATTGTTTATTTGCAAATGCACGTCTCCTTAAAATAAATTTGTTCTTTTGTTTACTTTGAAGCCCTACGAGCGTAAGGATGTCCAGTGTCAGTTAGGCAACTTTGTTTATACTGTACTTTTCTAAATAAACCTACGTTTCTATGAAAATTTAAAGGAACACTATAGTATCAGGAACACAAACATGTATTCCTGACCCTATAGTGTTAACACCACCATCTAGCCCCCCTGGGCCCTCTCATGCCTCCATAAATGTAGTAAAAATCTTACTGTATTCAAGCCAGAAGCTGTAGATCTGCATGCTGTTTGCCTAAAAAAACCACCAGTCTGCTGACATCATCAGAAGTGGTAGCCTGGTCCAATCACAGTGCTTCCCCATAGGATTGGCTGAGACTGACAAGGAGGCAGATCAGGGGCAGAGCCAGCATGACACAGCCCTCCCTACATAAAGTAAGAAGGGAGGGGGGATATTAAGTAATGTACCTCCACCTCCCCCACAATCACCCACACACATACAGCACCCACAGGCATACACAGCACCTACACACATACAGCACCCACACACATACAGCACCCACACATATACAGCACCTACACACAAACAGCACCCACACACATACAGCACCCACACACATACAGCACCCACAGACATACACAGCACCTACACACATACAGCACCCACACACATACAGCACCCACACATATACAGCACCCACAGACATACACAGCACCTACACACATACAGCACCCACACACATACAGCACCTACACACATACAGCACCCACACACATACAGCACCCACAGACATACACAGCACCTACACACATACAGCACCCACACACATACACAGCATCAACACACATAAAGCACCCACACACATACACAGCACCAACACACATACAGCACCCACAAACATACACAGCACCCACACACATGCAGCACCCACACACATACATAGCACCAACACACATACAGCACCCACAGGCATACACAGCACCTACACACATACAGCACCCACACACATACAGCACCCACAGACATACACAGCACCTACACACATACAGCACCCACAGACATACACAGCACCTACACACGTACAGCACCCACACACATGCAGCACCCACACACATACAGCACCCACAGACATACACAGCACCCACACACGTACAGCACCCACACACATTCACAGCACCAACACACATACCGCACCCACACACACATACAGCACCCACACACACATCACAAACAGCACCCTCACAAACACACACAGCACCCTTACACACAGCACACAAACAGCACCCTCACACACAGCACACAAACAGCACCCTCACACACACAGCACACTAACAGTACCCTCACAAACACAAACAGGACCCTAACAAACACACACACAGCACACTGCCAGTACCCTCACACACAAACAGCACCCTCACACACAGTACATTAACAGCACCCTCACAAGTGCACACACACACACACACACAAACAGCACCCTCACACACAGTACATTAACAACACCCTCACAAGCTCGCACACACAAACACCCTCACCCACATAGCACACTACCAGCACCCTCACACACACATCACACTAACAGCACCCTCACAGCAGTGTATGTGTGTGTGTATATATGTGTATATATATATATATACATATATATACATAATACATATATATATACGCGGCTGTGCTTGTGCTTTAGGGTGCACACCCTAATGCAATAGGCTGCACACGCCTATGGCTACAGTCCCAGCTTTTGCTATTTTTGCCTAAACTTTGTAACTCGATTCAATTAACTACAATTCAGTAAATATACGTGCATTTCATTTTTGAATAGCAGATGCTCTTTAAGTTCACAGCACCGTAAAACCTCAGAAGACTTGAGAGCTGGCAAATAATACAACACATGAAAGAGTGAGGACGAACAGACAATCCTCTGTTACAAAACCATGCAATTGACGGAGGCTGAAAAGCCACAAATACCACGCTATATAAATATGTCTCACCGATTCAACAGTTAACCTTTTATTCAGCTAGCACCTGTTTCAGAAATATTCTAAAAGTTTGATTCCCAAACATCATACACAATCACTGCCTTTTCTTTTAAACCGAAGCATAAACATTTTCTTTTAAAAATAGTTTAAAGTTATTGGGAATAAATAACTAAATGGAACCTGGGGGCCAAGTTACTAAGTAGTGAGTTTTATATATTCAACTTAGACTTAAAGCAGTCATGTTATGTTATGTTAAGCACAAACTATTGGGTTTAACATAAAGATAGAATTTGTATGTCAGATAGATAACGATGGAATTTTAATAATATTCAAGCTCAAATCATTTTCTAAAAAAAACAGTAGGGACTATTTTTTTTTAAAATTGTCGAAAAAGGCAAAGGTTCAAACAGCCTTCGTCTGTCGCATCTTAACATTCGTCATCAACTGATACTCATTGCTGATGAGCGATCCACAGCCTCCTGGGTTCTTCCGTAGACAGTCATTTCATATTCCGCTACATAAATGTAAAAGACACAAGTAATGTGGCTCCTGGAAAACATTATCTGCAGATGGGTTGGAGAAAATGTGGTAAACACTCACTCCACAGTACAAGAAAGTTACTCTGGCTTGATAAAGATCTGAAAATTAGGATAATATTATAGTTCATGTTGGGACTACAACATAGGTGTAGCTGAGGGTGGGGACTTTGGGGCAACGCAATCTATTCACTGATACAGTGGTGCGGACATAACATAGAAAGACTGGGAGGGATAGATCATGACAAATCCCAACGTTTCTGTCAGTTGGGGGATTATACAACTTTCTTTCTTTTTTTTTTATTTTAGCCTACATTTTGGTCAGCTGATCACTACTAACTGTATATTGAATGACCCCCCTTAGTGAACAAAGACGTAATGTTTTAAACTCTTCAGTGTGTATTGGATGAAGCTTTCCATTTTGTTTTTATAGTATCCATGTTATCTCCAGCAGAAAACATGTTTCATGTTTTCCTATCGTTGTTGTTTTACCCTACCTGTTTTTTTTGTTTTTTTTTATAATTCTTTATTTTAGTTGTGCATTAGATAAACAACAGTTAAGCATTCATGACATTAGTTATTAATTAACTTAGTGGATAATCTATATATCAACATAACCATGACGATTGGTCTGCACATTTGTATAGCATAATATAGGGCTGAGTAGAAGAAACAGCTATCTTACATTCAATTAGATTATTGTATCCATCGGAGCATGATGTATGATGAAAGGCCTGTATATAACAAATAACAAGGTTGTGTAACCTGAGGGGTATCCAGTGGTTGTTTGTGTAGGGGACTTAAAGGGACCCTATAGTCACCAGAACAACTACAGCTTATTGAATTTGTCCTGGTGAGTAGAATCATTACCTTCAGGCTTTTTGTTCAGAGAAAATGTAGTGTTTATATTACAGCCTAGTGATAACTTCACTGGCCACTCCTCAGATGGCTGTTAGAGATC